GTATAGATGTATGAATGTTTCATTTTTAAATGGTTAATTTTATGTTATGTGAATTTTGTCTTGATGACAATTAATTTTGAAAAGAAAACAAAGGCTATAATTTATAGATACTTAAATTAGTATGATACATTTTTTTAAAATGAGTTTGCYTACATGTATGTATACCTAGTTTAAATCTTAGTATATTTTTGCTACATTACTTTCCCTAAAGGTTGCTCATCCAAAAGTTCAACAGCACTGAACAGAATCACCTGTTTTCTCACACCCTAGATATAATCATTTTAGAATTACCCACAAGTTTGTTTAAGTTTTCATTTTCCCGAAAGGCTTTGCTTCTGTGAATCACTTTTTTTCTTCAAATCCTTTACAAATGGTCCTGACTGATCATGGTTCTATTTAAATTCACTTTCAATTTTATGATGGTACAAACACAGGTTACATTCAACAGAAACCAAAACTTCAAATTTTGAATTTTGATCTCCTGGGTTGGGGACAGACAGTGGGTGTTGCTGGGCAGTGGCAGGAGTCACAACTCCGGGTCAGTCACAGGACCCCATATAGAAATAGTAGACACTCTCCCTTGTGCTGTGTGGCTAGGCTCTGATGCTCTGTGGGTGAGGTGCATTAGATCCATTTTCACTTGAAGGCATTTTCAACTTAAAATGGGTTTATCAGAATGTAACCCCATCCTAAGGAGATTTTTTTTGTCCAGGTGATGCTAACTCTATGCTCTTCAAATTACTTTCTCTCCTTTTTATTTTTTGAACATTTTTATTTCATGATGTCCTTTGTTACGAAAGAATCTATAAATTTTTGTTTATTCAAATCTGTCATCTTTTCCTCCATGGCTTCTGTATTTTCTATTTTACTTAAAAAAAAAGTCTCTCCACCATGGTTCAAAGACTGTCATAAATTTTCTTCAAGTATTTTCTGTTTATTTATTTTTAAAATTTAAAACCTTAGTTGTTCTAGAATTCATTTCTATATCATGTGAATGAGGGAGTTTAAAGTTATTTATTTTTTCCTTCCTGTATTATTCCTGTTATTTTTACCTTGTCGATGCCATTCCTGTTATTTTACCATGACATTGACTGCAGTATTAAACTTGGAGGTAAACACTGAAAACAACCTGAATGTCCATCAAAAGGTGACAATCAAAACCATATGACAGGCCGGGCATGGTGGCACACGCCTGCATAGAGGCTGAGGCAGGAGGATCGCAAAAGATCTATGCCAGCCTCAGCAAAAGCAAGACACTAAGCAACTCAGTGAGACCCTGTCTCTAAATAAAATACAAAATAGGGCTGGGGATGTGGCTCAGTGATTCAGTGCCCCTGAGTTCAATCCCTGGTACACCCAGCCCTGGCCAAAAAAAAAAAAAAAAGATTATATGACACACTATGGTAATCCATACCATGAACAATTATATATATATATATATGTCTATGACAGGTTAAATGAAAACAAGAAGTTGAAGAGTAATGTAAATAGAATGATCCCTTTCTTAAAAAGCAGATCAAGAACTTCCTACATATAAATGTTAAGTTTGTGTGTATTTTTATGAATATAAGGAAAGTTAGGTCACATGTCATACCTTGGAATGAGGATAACCTTGGAGAGAGGGAGAGATTATTAGCTATTATTTCTCCTTCACTGTCTTTGGGTTGATGCAGAGAACATTATTGCTTTTATTTTGAAAGTTGTGGCAGAGATTGAGAGTCACCTGTTCAACACCATTCTCCTTAGTAACAGAACCTCAAGTTTTAGCTGAGCTCAATACYACTGACAATGAAATAATACATTTCCCAGCTTCTTTTGTAGCCAGATATAGCCACGTTATTAAGTCTCGTCCATGAGATGTAATAAATGTATGGTTCAAAGAAGTCTCTTTAAACTGAGTGCAGGCACATGCCTGTAATCCCAGTAATTTGGGAGACTGAGAAAGGAGGACCACAAGTTCAAGGCCAGTCTTGGTAGTTTAGCAAGACCCTGTCTCTAAATAAAAATTTAAAAGGGTTGGGGATGTAGGTCGAGGGTGGTGTCCCTGCGTTCCATCCCCAATACATAAAAAGAAAGTGAAGAAGGAAGAAAGAGAGGKAGGGAGGAAGGAAACAAGAAGGCTCCTTAAAATGGAGAAATGAGTTCTTTTTTCTTTTTCTTTTCTGCTGCCTGGAATAGGAATATAATGGCTAATGCCCTCGAAGCCATTTTATTTATTTTAATTCATTACTTGATTTTTTTGATGTGGAGTCTTACAATATCACCCAGGCTGGACTCAAACTCCTGGCCTCAAGTGATTCTCTTGTCTCAGCCTCCTGAGTAGCTGGGCCTACCTGTGTGTCATACCACTGTACCCAGTTGAAAGCCATTTTAGATTACATRGTCACCTAGAAGATGATAGAGCAAGAAGAAGGATCCTGGGTTCCTGGTGGCCCTGAGCTTTGTTTTATGTGAGCAAGATTTTTACCATGATCCAACTGTTATTTTGTGTTTGTTATAATCAACCAAACCTCATCATCAGTAATACAAAAGGAAAAATCCAATGAAGAATTTAACCAAAGGAAAAAAGAGCCCTGTTGGCCATTTTCCCCCTTACTGAAAGTGTAAATACTCATATCTACTTATTATCCTAATTTACTTGTTATTCTAATTTTGCTTTAATCATCTTATATACTAGACAACTGCTTATCCTAAAATTTGTCCATTTTTYCAACCCCTCCAATAGTGTTTTTCTTAAATATTCAAATCTTTTATAACCAAGTATTCCCAGGTCATAAAATACTTTCTCCATGAGTGTCAATATTTCCTGGCATATGTTCATTCACGTCAGTAAAATGATCAGTGTATTAAAAACCCATGGGGTTTCTGCAGAAGCCAAAGATGGCATGGCACCTCTTTTGTGGTATGTGTGAAATCTACCCCTCACTATAAACATTCTTCTGCAATATGATACTCTGCCCCCTCTGTCCATTTCATATGTGGTGTTCAGTGAGCTGAGAATGCTGGAAAAGTGATTGTTTTTTAGGAATTACCACATAGTATCACAATGCTAAGGCCAGAAGGGGTCTCAAGGTGACTTTTTAATGCCCCCATTTTACACAAGAGGAAACTAAGACCCAGAAAGTCTGCCTGACTCTCTTAGAGTAACTCAGCTAGTTAATGATGAGTCCAGAAATACAACCCAAGGGTCGGACTTCTGATTCTAGGTTCTCTAATTCATTTCATCTGCTAATTGACTCCTAAAGGGCTCAAGAAAGCTCTATGTCTCTCTTCTATTTTTTTTTTCCTTTCTAGCTTTTTATTGCAGAATATGCTGTTTTTCYGGTTGGCACGATCTGTTTAACAGCTAAGATCAAAGAAATATATCTTAAAAGCAAACAAAGTGCTCAGGAATATCTATGTGTTTCATAGATGATGTTCATGAACTGTCTCACTGGCCGGCTTCCCCCTCTCCCCACATAGTTAAAGCATGATGCTATTGAGTTCTAAGTCGAGTTTCCATCCTTATATGAAAAGTTAGCTTGGCACAGGGTTTGGTAGAGCTAAGTCTGACCAGCTGTGCTCTCAGCCACCAGGGAAATTAAACGAGACAGTGTGGCTGGTTCAGGACAAATCAATCAGCCTCTTGAAAATTACATTGAACATGCATGCCAATAAAGGCGCATGGGTAGTTTTCATATCAACCAGTTTTAGTCCTTGTCTCTAAGGTGTCATGCATGTGAACAAAGAAAGTAAATAGTCTTTTTCAGTTTAATCCCCTGGTAGTTCATATATATATATATTTTAAATCAGTTCCATGAGAGTTTCTGAAGAATTTGACCAAATCTGATACATTCTACAAAAATCTCAAGTGAGATATGCATGTCCATGTGCCATCTGTGATCAAAACAATAACTACCTGTCTGTCTGAATTTCTTTGCCAATGTCCCACATATTTTTAGTGTACAATTAGATGGTCACCACCATCTAATTCCAGAACATTTTCATCATTACAAAAAGAAATCCTGTACCCACAAGCAGTCACACCTAATTCTACTTCCCCCAGTCCATAGCAACCACTAAGCTAGTTTTTGACTCTGGATTTGCCTATCCTAGATAGTTCAAGTAAATGGAATTGAAGAGGGGTTGGCGTGTTACTTTGCAGTCTAATTTTTGTGTCTGGCTTCTTTCACTGAGCATAAGGGTCATTCATGTTACAGAATGTATCATTGCTTTTATATGCCCTATAATTTTTAAAAAGAATATTTCTTAGAAAAGAAGGTAAATGCTATGAGTATTCCTTGATAGAAATCTTTATATATCCTTTTATATACCCTATAATTTTAAAAAGAATATTTCTTAGAAAAAAAAGGTAAATGCTATGTATTCCTTGATAGAAATCTTTGCTATTGTTGGTAGAGAAAATAAAGCAATTCAACTTAGAAATTTGGCTTGGCAAATTAATTTTGAAACATCAATAAAATACAAAAATTTAGAAGAGAAGGTATTGGGGAACGAAACCAAACTGTCTTATGTTCATATACAAATATGTTGCCCTGAATCACATTATTATGAATGAAATTAGAAGGCAGCAATAAAAAATTAATATAAAGGAAAAGAAAAAAAAGAAAAATTTAAAACCCAATAATTAAGAATTAATGAAAATGACAAGCTAATGAGAGCATTAAATTGTCTGAATAGAGGTTTCTTTCTGATCTTAGTGAAAATTAAGCAAATACTTGGATTAGCATATCATGATGTTAATCTATTTTTTTACSGAGCAGCAAGCTTTCTGCACTCCTGAATAGGCACACGCATCTGTCAGATGGCGAGAGAAGAGCAAGAAAGAACACGAGGCTGCAGCTGAATTTAGAAAGTTAGAGGTGTTCTCATCAGCCACATGAGATGGACAGGAGATTCCTTCCAGTAGGCAAGAGAGCAGAGTGCAGACAACAGATGTAAGAAAGGTCCCTGTAGCTGTCAAGTTCCAGCATCCTTGTGCTGAAGAAGGGAGGTGCCAACATGATTGATGTCCAGAGGCAGTATAAAAGCACTGGATTTCTCCCCAACTGCTTGTCACATTGACCTGAACCATCTCTCGACTGCTCTTGGGGTTTCTGTCAACTAGTACTGGAAGGGAAAAAGCTCTTTGGAGAATAACATTTTATTTGTGGCCATGCCAGAACCCACTAAGAAAGAGGGTAAGAGTCATCCGTAAATCTTTTTGCTATACTTTGTATGAAGTGTGTTTATTTAGGTATCTATTTTCAAACAAATATCCAATTTCTTATATAGACTGTAAAATAATAGAATCACTGTGATGCAAGGATAAGATTTTTGTCGAGGCAAAAGACTAGAGGAAAATATAGCAAGAGTGTAATGAATTGAAAAATATCTCATAATGATAGTTTATAAAGGAATATTGACTACAATGGTCAAATGAAATTTATATCACTCACTTGCAAAAGAAAATCTTTTTGTTGTTGTTTGTGCAGGGGATCTTTAAAGTGTAATTTGAGGATGTTAAATGCTCATGGTGAGCACATTATATTTTTAAGCATGTTTTCTTAGCTTTGATCTCAATTTTTTCATCATGTATTTGCATTATGCTGGGGTGGGGGCTTGTAACACTTTTTCAAATAGTTAATAAATTTGACCAAGACTTCAAAAAAGAATTTGTAACATTATTTACAGACTTGTTTTTTTTTTTTTTTTTTTTTAATGGAGAGACCTTCAAAATATACAAATGAAGGCATTTTTTTGCTTTTACCAGTTTGTTTTTGTTTTGGAGCTTCATTGTCAAATTCCTGAATGAAAAGAAAAAGTCTTTGAATGTTACAGATTTTGTTCTTTCTGAGTTTTATTACGTATAATTTCAAAGGTAGCCTTTTAAAATAATTAAAGTGAAAATATAAAAATATCTTCATCAGAAAAAAAGTATTTCCTTCCATAAAGTTTTTCTTTTCAATAAAAAGATCAATATTTTAAAATTACTAATTAATAATATAAGTTGGAATTAGTGATTATGAAAATTAATGAAAAACACATCCATCCACCACTCAAATATATTGGCTTTAACTCTTAATTATGTCTTTTAAGATATTATTCATTAAAACTAGTCTTCATTATACTTCCTGAATCTCTCTTTTTCACTTCTGCAAATAAAAGCGCAAGCACACACACTCAAATTAGCAGGAATATAAAAACAATATTTAGCTTTTTCATTTTTAATTATTAAAAAAAATGCATTTAACCATTATTTTGGAGAACCTTGGGAAAGATGCTACATGTTTGAACCCAAAGCTGAAATACTAACCATATTATCAAAAGTCGTTTGAATATATTTTCTTTATATAATTAAGTAACCAGTGCTGACAGGCCTGGTGATCAGTTTACAGGTTGGCCTTACTTAGTGGCGGAGGGCATTGATGGATGAAGTCTTCCACCAGAAATAACCACACCAAATGCATGCATTAATATGGGAACTTAATCCTGACTATCAGTCAGTGAGTCCAACCCCTGCTAAAGTGTCATATTTGTAATGCAAATGATTTACATGTGTATTAAGTGTCCTTTTTAGTTGATCTGTCACTTGACTTGCCTCTTTAAGGTTTACTTGGATGAAGTGCATTCTGTTTCCTCACTGAGGACAGAATATTGTTTTAATCATCCTGAGTAGAGTGGATGAGTTTGCATTTGTGGTTTGAAAGTCCAATTGAAAATGACAAGAAAGCTGAAAAATTAATAAATAAGGTGTCAGTCAGGCTGCAAAGCCTATAAAGCTAATTCAATTGTTGTGACTGCTAGATAAGATGAAGTTTTGTGTTTTGTTTGACAACTCAATCTGATTCATTTTCCCTCTACAGAAAATGAAAGTTTAGAACTGCAAAGAGAAAAATATTTTTTCACTTTAGACATATGTGTATATATAAATTAGCACAGATACTACAGTCTCCTTGACCTTCTTTCACTATAAAAACACTGTTGATATGCTGTGTAGGAGTCCCTCCACCCAGACCAGTAATTTTATACCCTTAGATTCTTTAGTTAGTTTAAATTTGGATGGTGGGAAGTAGGAGGGGAAAAAAAAGTGGGGGGATTACTGATATATTTAAAATTCACTGAGGAAGTACAGAGATTTTTATTGTTAGTGTTCTCTTGTCAGCAGAACTGATTTTTAAAGGAACTATAATTTAAGGAGTTTTTCTTATTGAAATCATTGTCTTTTTCTATCATTGATACCAGAAGACTAAGGAGTGTGGCAGTTGCCAATGTTCTGGTCATGAATAGTACCTTCTCCTAATGGAAATTTCATTTTTATCTGGGTTGCTTTTGTTCCGTGTAAGACTCCCTCTAGAAGACAGCCCCCCAAATTAAACATGCCGTGGAACCAATTCTTCGCAGTCATTTCAGACTCTCTGCAGGTTGCTCCAGTTCATACAGGTCTTCTCACCTCTTCCCTAGCTGGGGAAGGTGTGCCCAGGAAGGACAYGGCTGCTTCCTGGAGTCTTGTTAGGACATAAGGGCTGGTTTGGCCCTCGGATGGACTGGCAGGAACTGGCAGTTCTCTCTAAAACACTGAGTTTTCATGTCTTGCTCAGCCATCTCCCAGCCTACAGTGGCCTCATTCTGACTGTCTCATATTGGCTCTTGGGAGATGTGCAACTTTGGACCTTGAGGAGGAAGTCTGATAGAGGTAATTAGTCAACAGTCCTTATTTAGATCCTTAAAAATATTCTAGATGTCTTAGTGACCCTTTTTGACAAAAGAAAGCATTGTTTTTTCCTCTGTGGGCTCAGGATTGAATCTAGGGCCCTATCCATGTTAGGCATGTGCTCTGCCACTTCGTACACCCCCACTCCAGAGAGTATTATTTTTAAGGAGTAGAATACTTCCCCTTGTCCTACTCCCATTGTGTGTGTCTTCTTTGGAGAATTATGTTATTTGAACTATCAGTTACACATAAAAGACCTGTCATACACTTTGAATTCATGAAGAACCAGAGGGCTAGTAAAATTAACTAATTAAGTCCCAAGTTTTCAATTGTTTGAATATTTCAATGAAACCAACACAGGTTTATTAAAATAGGTTGGAAATCATAATCTAGAGCTTACATATTATTATATTATATTATAATTACCATGTATTATTATAATTACATATATTATATTAACAATTAACATATATTATTATAATTAAATTACTATGTATTACCTTTATAATTATATATTATTGTATTATTATATACTTATATTACATATTCATTTTATATTTAGGTTTTTATAGGTGTTCCATATGTGGGACAATGGGACAAATTGGATTTATTTATTCTAATAAAATGCTGAGAGGAGATACAGAAGGAAGCTTCAGATTTGTGTGACTCTCACAGATTGACTTGCTGATGCATTCATTTGTGTGTCAACTATTAAATGKGCACTTATTGTATGTTAGCTGTTGAGATTTCAGAGATGCATAAGAGATGGTATCTAAAGTCCGTTACAGTTAATTTCCTCTGGGTCCTCCTGTGTTAAAAAATCACACTATTTGGAAATGTCTCTTCCCAGTCAAAAAGAAATTTTATCAACATAGAAATAGAAAATTGCAATTGCCTTTCTTTCTGKAGGTAGAATCTCTACTAGTTTAAAAAGACTATAAATAGTTTTTCAATCCATAAATATGACTTCCTAAAATTTCATCTCTTGCAGTATGAAATGATTACAACCATGAGCCTGGTTTCTTATCCTCCTGAGATAGCTGTTAGCTGTTAAGATTCTGCAAAATCCAGAAAATTCTCTTCCAAAACACAGAAGTGAGACCTACACATGAACTTTTTTGTGATGTGATATATCCAGTCCCCTTATATTTCACATAGTTGTTGGAAGAATGCCACAGTTCCTCCTTAGCACTAGTGTTTTGTTCAGAACACCTTCGGAGATTCACTAGTTTTCTCATCTTCCATGTAAGATCCCTTCTTAAAAACTCAGACATAGGGCAAAACACAGGTTCATTTATGATTGTCATGTTAAGGGGTCATTCTGCAAGTGTAGGAATCAAGGTCTTGGTGTTATGATTTCAGATCTTTTGTGTGTGTGTGTGTGAGTCAGCACACAGTATCTACCCTATTGATCTTGAATAGGTGGGAACTTGGTAATGGACAACTGTGTGTGTGTGTGTGTGTGGTGTGTGTGTGTGTGTGTGTGTATGTATGTGTGTGTGTGTGTGTTTTCAGTCCAGAAAAGATTTTCCATTTCTATATCTTTTTTCATTGCTCCCTAGAGATTTCAACAGATTTTAAATTTCTGCTGAGTTCAAAACCCATCTGAAGGTACAGCAGCACCATCACCTCTMACCTATTTGCAAGCATCGCCCAGGGCTTAGTCATAGTCAGAAAAGGAGCCCCGGTGTAGGAAGCCTCCCTCTCATATTTACTTACTCTTTGACCTTCAGTTTTCACCTGCATGACACTATTTGGGGTTATTTCAAGCACCAAAATAAATTTGTCTTTGAAAAGTCATGACATATAAAGAATATTACCTTTACCTCAAATGGAGCAGCAGTAGTTAATCATATATAGGAAATAAAAAGAAAGAACAGGGTGGAGGAATTTTCTTAAGGGCTTCTATTTTCCTCCTAACTTTGAATGGTTCACTAAGGCCAAGTTGAAKACGTGGATGAGGAATAAAGAAGTTATATGAATGAATCCCACAATATGATTTCCTTAAACTGCCCCCCCMCACACACACACACAGACAAAGAAAAACTGCCTTGCTGTCCGGAAGATTCATGGCATGGACTTCAGTTCTCTGTTATAAAGAAGGAATACTCTTCKGCAAATGCACCCACCCTGAAGGGGCTTAATACTTGGCAGAATCATTCTTTTCAGTCGCCTGCTTTTATGACTCTTCATACTGCACCTGTTAGGAAGATAAATAAAGGACTGGCCAATGCTTTCCTCTGTAGCGTCCTAAATATATCGCTTTGAAAAAAAACTTTGGAAAAACAAGTTTGTGTGCTTGATTTTCATTCAGTAGGTCTAAAGTCTACCTCTCGTTCCCAGGCCTTTCAAACAGCAGTGAAGTCAAGGGTAAGGCTCACCAGCTGATCTGAGGGACCCAAGAGAAAGGGAAAAGATGAAGCACTTGTGATCCTTTATTATCTCAATGGCTCACTTCATTTTGGCCATTAGACAAGGCCTGGAAAC